ATGTCTGTTGTGCGACATTAGTCTGCCGTGTTCGCTGAGAAACACACTGACTGTACTTTACAGAAAAATATTTGAAGTGCACTGAGATGTTTCAACATGATAAAGAATTATATCAAATGCAAGAATTATTATAAAGCCTTGCTTGCCAGAGAGCGGGACCACACCAATAATAGATCTATCATTATCATTAGTGCCCGATAATAATCCCTCAAGAAAAAAATACAACAATAAATTGGTCGTTTCAATCCGTGACTGTTTGTGGGACACTGCTGTGCGCAATTGGCTGCCACGTTTTGCCCACAAATATAGTCAATTCACTTTACAGTAAAATCTGTGAAGTGCTTTGAGATGTCCAGAAGACATGAAAAGTGCTATATCAAATGCATTATTATTATTTATTATTATCTAGCCCAAACTTCTGATCCCAAAGAACCACAGTAACAGAAAAGCCCCTCTCTCCACTTATAACCTCTAGAAAAACTCAGGTCTTCTTCCCAGTTCAGGGACTCTTGAATCTACTTTCATCAATCTTCAGCTATTCTGAAAACAAAGTTTGGTCCTCACGGTGTGAACCGAATCTGGGAGTTCCAAAACAACAACAATAGCATGGATTTATGTAGCGTCCTCCACGCCGGACGGCGTCTCAGAGCGCTTTACAGTAACGGATCCCGGCACCGAGCCAGGGGGGTGGGGAGGATGGTGACCAAAGGCGCGGTCGAAGAGAAAGGTCTTCAGCAGAGACCTGAAAATGGAAAGAGAGGGAGAGAGGCGAACGGAGTGAGGAAGAGAATTCCAGAGCCTCGGGGCATAGTGCCTGAAGGCACGCCCGTGAGGGTGAAGCGCAGGACTCGGGGGATGAGAGAAGGCCAGACCCGGAGGAACGAAGGCAACGGTTTTGAAGAGAGAGGTCAGAGAGGTAGGGGGGTGCAGAGGAGTGGAGGGATTTGAATACAAGGGTGAGGATCTTGAAGTCGATCCTCTCTGGGACAGGCAGCCAGTGCAGTCTAGCAAGGACTGGGTTTACTCAATTTCACTCAAGGAATTGAACTTACAAACGAAAGTATCTGGTGAGTGTGCAGATGGAACTTTTCATTCCCGATGTTTACATCGAAAGTAACCAGCTTGACACATTTGCAAGCACTCCCCAAATTGAACTTCTAGTACTGGCAAACATAGCTTTCCTGTGAGTCAGCTCCTAAATTTTAACTGGAATTTGGGAACCTCCTGGAAGGCAGCTAATGCTAATATTACTGGAAAGAGAGCGATGTGCAGAGAGGCACCCATATAAAGGAGAACTCTGGCCAGGAATGGCTGGACTGATTCAAATGTTTGTTAAACCCTCAATCCTCGCCTCATACAACCTTAAACCAAAACTCAGTTTAAAGTTGCCTGACCAACAGCTATTGTTTGTTTAAGCTGAATCTACTCACTAAACCAAACATGGTACAACACTTCTTTTTTTAAAATATCATGGTGGGGATTTTGAAGCATTACGACTTTGCTGAATATAAAAACTTTATGTATGTTGGAAAAATGACCGTAATAGTACGTATAACCTGTACATCAGGTTTCTTTAACAGTACTGGGGATGGTTTTGCTACAGAGAAGAGGGAAGGGTGGGGGGAAATGGAGAAACAGAAAATCATTTTACTCCTATTGTTTCGTCGACACACCCCTTTCCACAATGTACTGAGCATGATTTAGCAAGAGCTCATGGGATGAGCTCCCATCATGTGTCAAACAGATCAGGCACATTAACCTTTCCACGGATACATTACGGATTTCAACCAACTGCATTCAGAACAGCAATGATCTACATTTCGCTGCTTTGTTCTTTTGTTTGGCCGCTTTAATAACATTTATAATTTTTACAGGAGACTCTTTTTGATCCTAGGTGAACGGACGGCTGTGCTACATGTTAAACCTGAATCATGGAACATTCACTGCTCTATTCTCCGTGGGGATGCAACCCAACGCTCAGGAGGCTGGGTTATGAGCCTAGGACTGGTCAAGTCTTTAGTGGCTTTACTAAAGGGAGAATAGATCTAAAACAAGAGGTTCTCAAACTATGGGGCGTGTACCAGAGGAGTGTCAGTTACACACCTCCCAACAGTCCCAGGCTTCACAGGACTGGCCCCATGCCCCAACAAAACCGCTCCCCCAACAACCAAACACGTGACAACGCTTCCCGCGGCAAACAAATGCTGAGACAACAGTTCTCCTGCCAACCAAACCCCACAACACTTCCTGCGACACTTCCGGCCACAATAATCGTGAGGTAGGACGGATGGATACTATACTGACATAATTTATTATTGTTTGGTGTTATGATTTCCTAAAATGATTGTGTAGTTTTATTTTAGCTGCTGCGATTTGTGAACAGAACAGTGAGATAAAACAAGGGTGCTTTATGAAATGAGCACTATTGGCACTCATATTATAACTATACTGATCAAAGTTTACTTCATTACTCATATTCTTACAAAGAGTTGCATTTTCACTTCTTTGTGTTGTCTTAATAAACTATGGGGAGGCGTAATTGTTTTTTTCTTCACTTAAGATGGCTCATTATGACAAAGTTTCAGAACCACTGATCTCAAACAAACTGAAGCAAACAATACCTCAGTCACTGTTGTTTTTTTGAGCTCTAGCCACATACATCCTTAGCCAGGACTGCTTGGAGTAGGTGAAAAGTAGTATTTGGGCACCAAATCTTTGAAGTCTTGTCATAAGTCAGTTGTATTGGTACTGATGAGGTAGGTGCTGAACAAAATAAGCTACACTGTCTGTTCAATTGAAGGGCAGAATAAGTGCCGCAAATGCACAGGGAAATAAAAGTATGCAACATCACCACCACAAGTGGGAGGGAATGGCATTGCATGGGCTGCAATGGCATCTTGAGCTGAGAAACGAACTGCTTGTATGAGCTGAGACGAAAACCTAGTGGTGGCAAAAACCAAATCAGTCGATACTTTAACCACTGACTGATCATCTATACTTATAGCATCGCCCTCATTCATTATCAGAGGACCTGAGTGACCACTGATGATCCATATACTCAATACTGGGAAATGAGAAAAGCAATCTGGTAGACCTTCCATCTAATGTAGGTCAGTTGGAAAAATATTAAGGGAAAAGTGTATCAACCCTTTTGCTGCCAATCCGCCTTGCACCCTCTTTGCTCATCTTTAGATCATACCTGAAGACCATCCTCTTCAATCGTGCCTACGGTCATCTCCCTTCTCTCCCTGGTTCAGCATCAGGCCAGCCACTGTTAAAGTGCTCCAAAATGCTATCCCGTATAAATGTTATTAAAGAGATCAAACAAAAGAACAAAGTAAAAAATGTAGGTCATTGCTGATCAGAATGCAGTCAGTTGAAATCCGGAATGTTTGTATCCATGGAAAGGTTTATGTGCCTGGTCTCTTTGACACATGATGGGATCTCATCCATTGTACATTGCCATTATTTAAAGAAGTTCACCTACAAATACACACACACTTCATAGCAAATATCTAAGTATATCCTGTGTAGCACCTTAAGATATCCTTCTTCCCAACTTGAAAGGCACTATATGAAATGTAAGGATTATTATTATAACTTACAATAAAATTGTGCGTGTATGCATTATCCCGACGAGCAGTATAAACAAGGGAAAACTTTGAATCTGTTAAGAGGGGGTTAAATATATTCAGATACTTTGACATTTAGAGTTAAAAGCTAAAGAAACAGAATTTTTCAAAAAAAACATTAAGTTTTTAGAACCTCTGGGTATTTCTTCCTTATCTCTTCTAAAACGTCCTTGCTGAAGGTGACTGCAGTCCAAAATAAACTAGTTGAGTAAAAAGGAATTATGCATTCCACCTGCCCCGCCTTCAAAACCATCTCTTGACCACCCTTTCAGCCACTTTCCTCCCCTCTTCTCCACATCTTACCCCTCCTCCCTCAGGCTCGGTCAGTTGGGTGAAAAGCTTGGAGACATCCTCCAGAGATAAAGGTACTATACAATTGTAAATTGTTGCCTACTACAATAGGTGCTGGATTCATTCAAAGGCCACATTTCTGCAGGCTTGTGAAAATTACATTTTATGCCAAGCTAATTTTTCCTAAATTTTTGATTTAGTGGGTGGGGGAACTGTTTCCCTCTCCAGCAATCTGCTACAAAACTTACTTATTTTTCCAATTTTTTTAAAAAAAGGCTATATATGTATATAGATGGGGGGGTGGTATAATCCACCAGCATATTTCCTTCCCTGCAGTTTGTAATCCACCAGTGATTTGGAAACCAGCTAAAGAGAAGGGAGGTTCTCTCTTCAGTGTCCTGGCCAACAGTCCCCCAATAAAAAAATGGTCACTAGCTCACTGGTTTTTGTGGGACATTGCTGTGCGCAACTGGCTGCTGCGTTTCTCCCACAAAACACAGTCACTACACTACACCTTACAGTATATCCCGTGAAACGATCTGATTTGAGATATCTCGACGTGATAAGGTGCTGTATCAAATGCAGGGATTACTATAGTAAGTTGTTGAATTCCTCCCCCACCAAAAATATCACAGAGGATCAAAAAGGGAAACGGCGGCGGTGAGTGGTGAGGACAGGCAGCGGTTCAATGAATAGCGGGCGGGCGGGCGGGCGGGCGCACGCTGCAGGCCGACTGGCCGACCGGCCTGAGAGAGAGAAAGGCCGGGCGGCTCCGGCCGGACACTCGCTTTGCCGTATTTGGCTGAATCGGCGGAGACGGATTGGGGGTAAGTGCGGAGGGAAGAGATGGAGAGAGAGAGGGAGAGGGGGAAAGAGAGGGGAGAAGATAGAGAAAGGAAGGGCGGGAAGAGCAATGGAAGCGCCTGCAGGCCGGGGGTGGGGGACTCGGCGCGGCTGCCGTGTCTGAGAGAGAAAGGCCGGGACGGGCGAGCGGCCTGGAACCCCCGTTTAACTCCCGCCATACACATACGTAACCGCGGCGGTATTGCTCGGGCCCGGGCGGCGCCTCAGTCTTACCCTCAGTGTCTGCTCGGCGGCCGCTGTCTCCCCTCCCCCCGCCCGCCTTCACGCGCCGCTGTTTCCGGTTTCTGGCTGATTGACTGACCGGCGACCGTTTGGAACGTAGTCACGCGCAGGCGCGTCACCAACCCGCTCCTCACCTCAACCAATCAGCGGCTCTGCCGCGCCGCACCTTCTCCCGCGTGCATTCCACGATGAGTGCGCGCGCACACACTTACTCTCGGGCACCGGTGTGGGCGGAGCTGATGCCCAGTCTGGAGGATTCTTATTCTGTTATTACTGTTACTACTGTTATTGTTATTACTGTTATTGTTATTACTGTTATTATTGCTGTTATTGTTATTGCTGTTATTGTTATTACTGTTATTACTGTTATTGTTATTACTATTGTTATTGCTGTTATTGTTATTGCTGTTATTGTTATTACTGTTAGACCATAAGATGTAGGAGCAGGAGTAGGCCATTCGGCCCATCGAGCAGCCTGCCCCGCCATTTAATAAGATCATGGCTGATCTTCTAACCTAATTACTTTTATCCGCCCTGTCCCCATATCCCTTAATAATAATAATAATAATAATTCTTGCATTTGATACAGCGCTTTTCACGTCGGGAGGACGTCCCAAAGCGCTTCACAGAACACACTGTAAAGTGAATTGACTGTATATTTGTGGGCGAACGCGGCAGCCAATTGCGCACAGCAATGTCCCAAAAACAGTCGTGGATTGAAAATGACCAATTTATTATTGTTTTTGGTTTTGGAGGGAATATTATTAGGCTCTGTGTGGAGTAAGGAAACTTGCCCAAGGTTTCGCCCTCTGCCTGGAATTGAACTCAGATCTCTCGCTTACAAAGCGAGTGCTCTAACCACTGAGCTACAGGACTCCGATTATTGCACATCCATTACTGTTACTTTCATAGTAGAAAATATATATTTTTACATATGTGATAATGACTAGTTAGCTCTACAATATACTCATTAAACAATGCATATCTCACAAAAGATTATCTGAATAAGGAGGAAAAACTACAGACATGTATGCAAATAAGGATTTAAAAGATGCAATACAATCGCAGGGTTCAGATGACTTGTCTAACTCCCTCAGCTGTGGTTCCCATTTAGCAGCTTCTCCATTAACAATTCATGATTCTGGATTCACATTTAGCCACTGCCTTCTCTCAAGATATGATGTGACGTTCCGTACAGCATTGTCTGCCAAATTATTTAAACCACAGAGGGTTGCGATAATATATGGTATCCACTGCCTCAGAATACAAAGACAATTGAAATATTTGAGATAAAAAATTGAGGGGTATTAAGAAACATGGGGGGAAAAAGACAGCTAAATGGGATTAGAAAGAATGGCCACAAATTAATAAAATGGTCAAATAGCCTTAATCCCTCTATCTTTTAGTTACTGTTATTATTGTATTGTCATTGTTGTTATTACTGTTATTACTATTACTGTATTGTGCTGTGCTTGAAGAAATGATTTTGGGCAGGTGCCTAATTTAATTTGTTTTAAATTAAACCTGCAAAAATTTCCGCACCCACTTTTCTTAAGTTTCAAAAGCATTAACCTAAATTGGGCACTCTCCTACCTGCCACTCTGCAGCCAACACATAATACTGGGCTACTTTTGGACTAGTATTTGGTTAGCTTTGGACAACAAATATATTTTAATTTCTGCCCAACCTGATCACTCTCCTCTTACCAAAACCTCTTACAGGTGACATGTTTGGCAATGGAGTGTCAGAATTGAGCATACCCTCTGTGGTCCTCCTCATGAGTCAGGTGGACCTGCAGTACTACAGGAAACTGCTGATAACGGGACAGCCAGCCTGGCTCACCAGCAGGACTTGGAAGGGCTGACCAGTCACTGGGGGCAGAGTCATCCCACTCATCTTGTGGAGTCCTGTAGCTCAGTGGTTAGAGCACTCGCTTTGCAAGCGAGAGACCTGAGTTCAATTCCAGGCAGAGGGTGAAACCTTGGGCAAGTTTCCTTACTCCACACAGAGCCCATAATAATCCCTCCAAAACCAAAAACTATAATAAATTGGTCATATTCAATCTACGACTGTTTGTGGGACATTGCTGTGCGCAATTGGCTGCCGCGTTCGCCCACAAATATACAGTCAATTCACTTTACAGTGTGTTCTGTGAAGCGCTTTGGGACGTCCTCCCGACGTGAAAAGTGCTATATCAAATGCAAGGATTATTATTATAATATTATTATTAACCCTAAAAGCTAGGGTGGTCCAAGCTAGGTCTAGATTTTTACTATTAATAATAATCATCACAAGCCCTTGTGATCTTAATAATCCTTACTTTTGATATCACACCTTTCACACCACAAGGCTTAATCTTATCCATGGTGGAATTTCTATTCTTACGTATACAGTGATCACAGAAATACAAGATCTTGGATAGTTTTATCCTTAAGAACCCACTGCCTTGCATTTAAGTCACGTGAAACTTTACAAAATTCTTGTTTCAGACCCTTATGCATGTAGTGTAATCAGGGAGAAAATAAAAACGGGTATAGATTACAACTGCAAAATAATAAAAATCCTTGTATCTGATAAACCAAATTAAGGTTTATTTAAGTGAATTACAAAAATGTTTTTTGTACTTATCCCACATTTAAAAAAAAGCCTCCCTGGAAATACACTCAGTGAGGCTTGAAACACTTGCTTAGATAGCAGTGCCATTTGAAATAAAGGAAGTTAACACTGCAGTGGGTGGAAGTCTGAAATGGAAGCACTGGAAATTCACAGTAAGGTTTGTGTCCAAAAGGGGAAGAAAATATTCACATTTTAGGACATGACCCTTCATCAAAACACCCATAAACATGGTGTTAAGCACTCCGGTACACTACGCTGTGTGAAGGGCGCTACATAAATGCAAGTTGTTGTTATTGTTGGATCCACCCACCTGCTCCTCGTAAACTTTCTGCCGAGGGGGACCTCTCCCCGGTAAATATTGTATGTAAGATACTTACCATCTGCAAGTACCTGCACCATGTAACCTCAATTGCATCATTGTTGAAATAAATTAATAAAATATTTATGTACAGGATATACATCAAATATAGATGTGACAATATCAAGCAAATTATTATCAAAATATGATCCGCTCAATTCAGCAAAATCAAATCACTTCAAGGTGATAGCAAACACTTCTGATAGTCTCCATGTCTTTAAAGCAAGATGCAGCTGCCACAACCTGCTGACCACGTACGTGGCAGAATTAGAATCATAAAATGTTACAGGACAGGGGGAGGCCATTCAGCCCATTGTGCCTGTGCCAAATCTTTGAAAGAGCTACCAACTATCCCACTCCCTCACTTTTACCCCCAGAACCTTGTAATGTTTTTCATTTTCAAGAATTTATCCAATTCCCTTTTGAAACCTACTATTGAATCTGTTTCCATCATCCTTTCAGGCAGTACATTCCAGATCATAACTCGCTGGGTAAAAAATATTCTCGTCTCCCCACTGGTTCTTTTGCCAGGTTCCAAATCTTGTTTTGTCCATTAGGCTCTCACTGCAGCTTCTGCTACTATGTTTCATTCAGCAATTAGAGTGCAACTGGGTGATCTTCAAAATGTAATCTCTGCCAATGTCAATAACTAATACAGGATAGGCTTCCTTCCCTGTTCGGTGGCATAAGTGGTCTCCAACACAGAGTCCTTCCAACAAGTTGCCCTCCCAACAAGGAGTCCTCCCAAAAGGATATATGTGCAAATATGTGAACATGGGATGTTAACACGTTCAATAGCATATTTTCTTAATCTTAAGGGATAAAGATGCTTAAGAAGCGAAGATCAAGCCTTTCAAGGACAAATAAAAATGCCAGACGAAAGAGAGGCCGATTAATGAAACTGGTTGCAAGCGGAGCTGCAATGGATACAACTAGTACTATATAAATAAGGGCTGTAAATCAAAGTGGATGAGAGTGTAAAGCAAGTTTTACCTTTATTGTTCTATGAATTTGGGATAAGGCAACCTTTCCTTTCTTTGCAGCACTACGTTAATTATCCAGACTGAGAGAAAAGACCATGGCATGGTAAAATTAATGTACATGTACAGTATGTTCCTTCATCATCTCTGGGTCAAAATCCTGGAACACCCCAACTCAACACTATTGTGGCAGCGTCATTCCCCCGAGCACTGCAGTGGTTTCAAGATAATTCTCCACCACCACCTTCTCAGAGCAGCCAGGTTGAACTCTTAAGAATTCATATGCTACTGATGCAACATCCATTTATTTTTCTTCTCCTGGAACGACAAAGGATGAAAGGAGTAGATTTTCTTGCCTGTCACAGCCAAACCAAGCTGGTGATCGTGCATGATATATCCTGGCTGTGAATCATGTTTGTGTAACCTATGATTTCCCAGCACAAATGTAAGCGTTATTGTTAATAGCAATTGGGCCATTTTAGGAGAAAAAAATGCCTGTATCCATTGTGTTAGTTGCTTCCAATAACAAAGCATCACTGTTTGTAAAACTAACTCCGAGCTAACATGTTACTTTTCTAATGTATGGAATTAGTAAATATTTGGCCCAAAACATCATTGGAATGTATTATTTTTGATGTTCAACTTTCCATTGAATTTTTATTATCCAGTTTTCACCTACAATAATACAACACTTCCATTGACTCAATACTGGTACGATATTTTGCTAATACATTTTCCATTAAAATCGTCCTAAAGTTTAGATATCTAGGAATCCAAATTATTGCAAGAATGTGCTTGGAGAGCAACATTAATGTTTTATTGCACAATTATCAATATTATAAATTATAAAACCATTATTGTGTATTGATTAGTCATAGAATTTCTGCATTGCTTCAAGTACCTAGATATGTTTTCCTTTATTCCTTGTCCGAAATCTAAACTTTACAATCAAAATCCAACAAGACATACCATTTAACAGAGAATTAACTTCTGATACTTTCATATACGGGCCTTTCCCCTTGCTTTGGAATGGAATGTTTCAGCTAACTAATACAATCACACTGGCATAATACTTAACATAATCACAATTGTTTTTTCTGATCTATGCTACTGAGAAACCTTTTCCTCTGTTTTTAACTGTGAACACAAGAGGAACACATTATCGAGAAAGGTGAAATGCAGTAAAGACACATTTCATTCAAAGTAATTCTTATACCGTGTCAGTTGATTGACAAGAGGTGCACATTAATACCGTATCAAGTGATATTTGAAAACTATCCAGAGATACTGAGAAGACAAATTGTTGCCTTTTTTAAAAAAAATCTGACTCCAGTTGTCATTTGGAATTAATTTTGAGCAGTATTTCTAAGAGATTAAATAGATTTTTTAAAAATATTGAAATATACAACTGAGTTAGACAAAGAAAAACAGTTTTTTAAGTCTCGTCACATCAACTTTAACCTCACTATAAACTGGATCACTTTTTTTCTTCTTAGCTGGTTTCACATGTTTACAAGCCTTTGTTGAAGTAAACTTGCTCCAATCCAGGACCAGTCTCTTGAATTTTGGCCTGAACGTCATGCTCCAGTCGGCTTACAGAAATACAGCTAGAATAAAAAATTGAAAGAATATTATAATAATAATAATAATCCTTGCATTTGATATAGCGCTTTCACGTCGGGAGGACGTACCAAAGCGCTTCACAGAACACACTGTAAAGTGAATTGACTGTATATTTGTGGGCGAACGCGGCAGCCAATTGCGCACAGCAATGTCCTACAAACAGTCGTAGATTGAAAATGACCAATTTATTATTGTTTTGGGTTTTTGGAGGGATTATTATTAGGCGTGTGGAGTAAGGAAACTTGCCCAAGGTTTCGTCCTGCCTGGAATTGAACTCAGGTCTCTCGCTTGCAAAGCGAGTGCTCTAACCACTGAGCTACAGGACTCCACTCCACTCCATATTGAGAGTGTCTGGAGCATCCTGGCAGGGCAATGTGTCGAAAGTGTGATCTAACCCTATGGCAAAGAGATCCCATATGTGGCAATTTCTAACAGGACTCCAGCAGGAAAATGTACAAAGACTCCTTCAGGTAAGCAGACAATGACAATTTACGGCAAATACAATCTGAAAGATCATATGGCGGACAACTTAATTCTGCACGTATTGAGAAATCCCATGAGAAATCACTGCATATTAGTCCTCTATGCAATCGGAAATCTAAATTGGTGTTTTCCATTCTGCATGTACATATGAGACGATTACATGTTATGATGAACCTTTATAAAACATTGGTTAGACCTCAGCTAGAGACTGTGTTCAGGTCTGGGCACCACACTTTCGGAAGGATGTCAAGGCACTAGAGAAGGTGCAAAGGAGATTTTCCAGGATGGTACCGGGAATGAGGGACTTCAGTTATCAGAAGAGGCGAGAGAAGTTCGGATTATTCTCCTTGGAGCAGAGAAGGTTAAGAGGAGACTTAATAGAAGTTTTCAAAATTATGAGGGAATTCAATAGGATGAACAAGGAGAAACTATTTCCACTGTTATGTGGGTCAGTAACCCGAGGACACCGATTTAAAATAGTTGTTAAAAGAAACAGAGGGGTGGTGAGGAGAAATGTTTTTCACAGCGAGTTGTTCAGATCTGGAATGCATTGCCTGAAAGGCTGGTGGAAGCCGAGTCGATAACACCTTTTAAGAGAGAAGCAGATAATTATTTGTGGAGGACAAGTTTGCAGGGCTATGGGAAGTGGGATTGAATTTGATAGCTCTTTTCAAAGAGCCAGCACAGACATGATGGGGCGAATGGCCTCCTGTGCTGTATAATTCTATGTGGAGTCCTGTAGCTCAGTGGTTAGAGCATTCGCTTTACAAGCGGGAGACCTGGGTTTGATTCCCCGCCGGGTGAAACCTTGGGCAAGTTTCCTTATTCCACACGCCTGATAATAATCCCTCAAGAAAATAAAACAATAATAAATTGGTCACTTCAAACCAAGACTGTTTGTGGGACATTGCTGTGCACAATTGGCTGCCGCATTTCGCCCACAAACATACAGTCAATTCACTTTGCAGTCTATTCTGTGAAGCGCTTTGAGAAAAAGACATGAAAAGCGCTATATGAAATGCAAGGATTATTATTATTATGGTTCTATGATGTGCCTCGTTCCTAACTTCCTACGAGTAAAAGCAACTTTAAATGTAATATATTACCGTATCTGGATTCTTACCTTTTTTGTGGAAACAATGCACAGCAAAGAGGCGTAGCAAACACCAAGCTGTAATAAAAAAATGAAAACGCTGATTATCCAACAGTTTCTCAAAGTAAATAGAATAATTATTTTCAGTGAAATACATTGATACCTTCCAATATGTTTAGTAGTTTCAAGATATATTCAAGGTATATTTATGATTGCTTTCCTTCATACACGTTTCCCTTAGCTCTCCTTTGCATAGCTATGGTTATCTTAGGAAATATTCTTTAAAATAAGTTTTTCACTTCCACTGACTGTAAAGAACAAGTGATGGAAGAAATTACCAAATTCAAAACAGGATAGGCTTCAGTATATGCATTGGGGACAGTTAGATAGAATCCTTGCGTTAATGACATTAGTGTCATTAATGACATCACTTCCAAGATAACAATAATAATCCTTGCATTTGATATAGCGTTTTTCACGTCTTCTGGACGTCCCAAAGCACTTCACAGAATATACTGAAAAGTGAATTGATTGTATTTGTGGGCGAACGCGGCAGCCAATTGCGCGCAGCAGTGTCCCACAAACAGTCATGGATTGAAAGTGACTAATTTATTATTGGGGTTTTTTTTGAGAGATTATTATTAGGCGTGTGGAGCAAGGAAACTTGCCCAAAGTTTCGCCCTGCCTGGAATTGAACTCGGGTTTCTCACTTGCAAATTAGTGCTCTAACCACTGAGCTACAGGACTACACTCTGCTACACTCTGCTATACTCTGCTACACAGTGGAGATGTAATCAGCTCCTGTAGTGAAGATACGATTGGGAAGAAGACTTTACTGTTGTTTGGAAGCACTTCGAGTCATCCTCCTGACACGAAAGACGCTATATTAATACAAATTGTTTTGTACTCACCAGATTCCAACCAAACCCACTTGAATCGGAGCATTCATCCATGGGAATCGCTGTAAGAATAGCAAAGAATACAGTCTTGAATTTTACCAAAGGTAATTTCAGTTAAAAGATTTTACTTGTCAAATCTAAGCATGTCCGAAAATTTTGCTATTCACTGAATTCTGGATTGGAGGATTGCTAGGCAATTGCTTTGAACGCTAGTATTTTTTTCTTATGCTGGAAGCCCAGAAAAGGTAGAAGAATGAGAAAACAATACCAGATAGCTTTATCGTTTTATATGCTTTACAGATTGCAATACACAAAACTTTCTTTCATGGAACATCTGTACGCATAGAATGCTTTGTTGCGATTTATTTCTGTTTTAACATCTGCCACCACTCATGTTTCTGTTGCCAATACAGCAGCCCATTCCCAAGCTGCCATTAGGTCCCATTGCAGCAGCCCATCCCCTAATTGAGCTGTAACAGCCTTGCACAGCTCCATCAACAAAATTAGATTTGTCTAGTGCCTTTCACGTCGGGAGGATGTCCCAAGGGGCTGGAAAATCAGTATTTCGGACCTGAGCTGGGGGTCAGGATTGGGAAGGGTGGCTAAAGGCACGGTCGAAGAAGAGGATCTTGAGACCATCAGGGGATCAGTCACAAATTTCAGATACTTTCATCCGCAACAAGAAAGTGTGTCTGCGAGAAGAGATAGGAAAACCAAAGGGAAATGCTTACTTTCAAAAATGATTTCCTTTCCAGCATATTCATGATAAAAGGAGGGATAGCTGAAATCAAGCAAACAAAAATTATAATTGAGCATTTCAATTACTGTTCAGTTGTGCAAAAATCAAATCATGTTAGTATCAGAATTGATCTGAATTGATCAGCACTCTGTGTGTGTGTGTGTCTCTCTGTGTTGTGTGTGAGGTGTGTGTCTCTCTGTGTTTGTGTGAGTGTGTGTGTCTCTCTGTGTGTTTGTGTGAGAGTGTGTTGTCTCTGTGTGTTGTGTGAGAGTGTGTGTCTCTCTGTGTGTGTGTGAGATGTGTCTCTCTGTGTGTTTGTATGAGAATGTGTCTCTCTGTGTGTGTGTGAGTCTGTGTCTCTCTGTGTGTTTGTGTGAGAGTGTGTCTCTGTGTGTTTGTGTGAGAGTGTGTGTCTCTCTGTGTGTTTGTGAGTGTGTGTCTCTCTGTGTGTTTGTGTGAGAGTGTGTGTCTCTCTGTGTTTGTGTGTGAGTGTGTGTCTCTCTGTGTTTGTGTGAGAGTGTGTGTCTCTCTGTGTGTTTGTGTGAGTGTGTGTCTCTCTGTGTGTTTGTGTGAGAGTGTGTGTCTCTCTGTGTGTTTGTGTGAGAGTGTGTCTCTCGGTGTTTGTGTGAGAGTGTGTGTCTCTATGTGTGTTTGTGTGAGAGTGTGTGTCTCTCTGTGTGTTTGTGTGAGAGTGTGTGTCTCTCTGTGTGTTTGTGTGAGTGTGTCCCTGTGTCCCTGTGCGTGAGTGTGTGTCTGTTTATATGAGTATGTGTCTCTCTGTGTGTTTGTGTGAGAGTGTGTGTCTCTCTGTGTGTTTGTGTGAGAGTGTGTGTCTCTCTGTGTGTTTGTGTGAGAGTGTGTGTCTCTCTGTGTGTTTGTGTGAGAGTGTGTGTCTCTCTGTGTATGTGTGAGAGTGTGTGTCTCTCTGTGTGTTTGTGTGAGTGTGTGTCTCTCTGTGTGTTTGTGTGAGAGTGTGTGTCTCTTTGTGTATGTGTGTGAGTGTGTGTGTCTCTCTGTGTTTGTGTGAGTGTGTGTGTCTCTCTGTGTGTTTGTGTGAGAGTGTGTGTCTCTGTGTGTTTGTGTGAGAGTGTGTGTCTCTCTGTGTGTGTGTGAGTCTGTGTCTCTCTGTGTGTTTGTGTGAGAGTGTGTCTCTGTGTTTTTGTGTGCTTGTGTCTCTGTGTGTTTGTGTGAGAGTGTGTCTCTGTGAGTTCGTGTGAGAGTGTGTGTCTCTCTGTGCGTTTGCGAGTGTGTGTCTCTCTGTGTGTTTGTGTGAGAGTGTGTCTCTCTCTGTGTTTGTGTGAATGTGTGTCTCTGTGTGTCTGTGTGAATGTGTGTCTCTCTGTGTGTTTGTGTGAGTGTGTGTCTCTCTGTGTGTTTGTGTGAGTGTGTGTCTCTGTGTGTTTGTGTGAGAGTGTGTGTCTCTCTGTGTGTTTGTGTGAATTTGTGTCTCTCTGTGTGTTTGTGTGTCTCTGTGTTTGTGTGAGTGTGTGTCTCTCTGTGTGTTTGTGTGAGTGTGTGTCTCTCTGTGTGTTTGTGTGAGTGTGTGTGTCTTTCTGTGTGTTTGTGTGAGAGTGTGTGTCTCTCTGTGTGTTTGTGTGAGAGTGTGTGTCTCTCTGTGTGTTTGTGTGAGTCTCTCTGTGTGTTTGTGTGAGAGTGTGTGTCTCTTTGTGTATGTGTGTGAGTGTGTGTGTCTCTCTGTGTTTGTGTGAGTGTGTGTGTCTCTCTGTGTGTTTGTGTGAGAGTGTGTGTCTCTGTGTGTTCGTGTGAGAGTGTGTGTCTCTCTGTGTGTGTGTGAGTGTGTGTCTCTCTGTGTGTTTGTGTGAGAGTGTGTCTCTGTGTTTTTGTGTGTGAGTGTGTCTCTCTCTGTGTGTTTGTGTGTGAGTGTGTCTCTCTCTGTGTGTTTGTGTGAATGTGTGTCTCTCTGTGTGTTTGTGTGTCTCTGTGTTTGTGTGAATGTGTGTCTCTCTGTGTGTTTGTGTGAGTGTGTCTCTCTGTGTGTGTGTGTGTGAGTCTGTGTCTCTCGTGTGTTTGTGTGAGAGTGTGTCTCTGTGTTTTTGTGTGCGTGTATCTCTGTGTGTTTGTGTGAGAGTGTGTCTCTGTGAGTTCGTGTGAGAGTGTGTGTCTCTCTGTGCGTTTGCGAGTGTGTGTCTCTCTGTGTGTTTGTGTGAGACTATGTGTCTCTTTGTGTGTTTGTGTGAGTCTCTCTGTGTGTTTGTGTGAGAGTGTGTGTCTCTCTGTGTGTTTGTGTGAGAGTGTGTGTCTCTCTGTGTGTTTGTGTGAGAGTGTGTGTCTCTCTGTGTGTGTGAGAGTGTGTGTCTCTGTGTGTTCGTGTGAGAGTGTGTGTCTCTCTGTGTGTGTGTGAGTCTGTGTCTCTCTGTGTGTTTGTGTGAGAGTGTGTCTCTGTGTTTTTGTGTGCGTGTGTCTCTGTGTGTTTGTGTGTGTGTGTCTCTCTGTGTGTTTGTGTGAATGTGTGTCTCTCTGTGTGTTTGTGTGAGTGTGTGTGTCTTTCTGTGTGTTTGTGTGAGAGTGTGTGTCTCTCTGTGTTTGTGTGAGTGTGAGTGTGTGTCTCTGTGTTTGTGTGAGAGTGTGTGTCTCTCTGTGTGTTTGTGTGAGAGTGTGTGTCTCTCTGTGTTTGTGTGAATGTGTGTCTCTCTGTGTGTTTGTGTGAGTGTGTCTCTGTGTGTTTGTGTGAGAGTGTGTCTCTCTGTGTGTTTGTGTGAGAGTGTGTGTCTCTCTGTGTGTTTGTGTGAGATTGTGTGTCTCTTTGTGTGTTTGTGTGAGTCTGTGTCTCTGTGAGTTTGAGTGAGTGTGTGTCTGTCTCTTTGTGTACCTGTCTGTGAGAGAGTGTGTCAGTGTATGTCTGTCTGTGAGAGTATGTTCGTCTTGAGAGTATGAGTGTGAGAGTGTGTGACTGTCTGTGAGAATGTGAGTGTGACAGTGTGTCCCTGTCTGTGTGTGTCTGTGTGTGTCTCTTTGTTTGTGTGACAGTGTGTGAGTGTGTGTTTGTCTGTGTCTCTGTGTTTGTGTGAGAGTGTGTGTCTCTCTGTGTGTTTGTGTGAGTGTGTGTCTCTCGTGTTTTGTGTGAGAGTGTGTGTCTCTATGTGTGTTTGTGTGAGAGTGTGTGTCTCTCTGTGTTTGTGTGAGAGTGTGTGTCTCTCTGTGTGTTTGTGTGAGAGTGTGTGTCTCTCTGTGTGTTTGTGTGAGAGTGTGTCTCTCTGTGTGTTTGTGTGTGAGTGTGTGTCTCTGTGTGTTCGTGTGAGAGTGTGTGTCTCTGTGTGTTTGTGTGAGATGTGTGTCTCTGTGTTTGTGTGAGAGTGTGTCTCTCTGTGTGTTTGTGTGAGAGTGTGTGTCTCTGTGTGTTCGTGTGAGAGTGTGTGTCTCAGTGTGTGTTTGTGTGAGTGTGTGTCTCTCTGTTTGTCTGAGTGTGTCTGTGTGTTTGTGTGAGTGTGTGTCTGTGTGTTTGTGTGAGAATGTGTGTCTCTCTGTGTTTGTGGGAGAGTGTGTGTCTTTGACTGTGTGTTTGTGTGAGTGTGTCTCTGTGTGTTTGTGTGAGTGTGTCTGTGTGTGTTTGTGTGAGTGTGTCTGTGTGTTTGTGAGAGTGTGTCTATGTTTGTTTGTGTCTCTGTGTATTTGTGTGAGTGTGTCTCTTTGTGTGTTTGTGTGAGTGTGTCTCTGTGTGTTTGTGTCTCTCTGTGCGTTTGCGAGTGTGTGTCTCTCTGTGTGTTTGTGTGAGAGTGTGTCTCTCTCTGTGTGTTTGTGTGAATGTGTGTCTCTGTGTGTTTGTGTGAGTGTGTGTCTCTGTGTGTGTGTGTGAGTCTGTGTCTCTCTGTGTGTTTGTGTGAGAGTGTGTCTCTGTGTTTTTGTGTGCGTGTGTCTCTGTGTGTTTGTGTGAGAGTGTGTCTCTGTGAGTTCGTGTGAGAGTGTGTGTCTCTCTGTGCGTTTGCGAGTGTGTGTCTCTCTGTGTGTTTGTGTGAGAGTGTGTCTCTCTCTGTGTGTTTGTGTGAATGTGTGTCTCTGTGTGTTTGTGTGAGTGTGTGTCTCTCTGTGTGTCTGTGTGAATGTGTGTCTCTTTGTGTGTTTGTGTGAGTGTGTGTCTCTCTGTGTGTTTGTGTGAGAGTGTGTGTCTCTCTGTGTTTGTGTGAGAGTGTGTGTCTCTCTGTGTTTGTGTGAGAGTGTGTCTCTCTGTGTGTTTGTGTGAGTGTGTCTCTGTGTGTTTGTGTGAGAGTGTGTGTCTCTGTGTGTTTGTGTGAGTGTGTCTCTCTCTGTGTTTGTGTGAGAGTGTGTGTCTCTGTGTGTGTTTGTGTGAGTGTCTCTCTGTGTGTTTGTGTGAGAGTGTGTGTCTCTCTGTGTGTTTGTGTGAGAGTGTGTGTCTCTCTGTGTTTGTGTGAGAGTGTGTGTCTCTCTGTGTGTTTGTGTGAGAGTGTGTGTCTTTGTGTGTTCGTGTGAGAGTGTGTGTCTCTCTGTGTTTGTGTGAGAGTGTGTGTCTCTCTGTGTGTTTGTGTGAGAGTGTGTGTCTCTGTGTGTGTTTGTGTGAGTGTCTCTCTGTGTGTTTGTGTGAGAGTGTGTGTCTTTGTGTGTTCGTGTGAGAGTGTGTGTCTCTCTGTGTTTGTGTGAGAGTGTGTGTCTCTCTGTGTGTTTGTGTGAGAGTGTGTGTCTCTGTGTGTTTGTGTGAGTGTGTGTGTCTTTCTGTGTGTTTGTGTGAGAGTGTGTGTCTCTCTGTGTTTGTGTGAGAGTGTGTGTCTCTCTGTGTGTTTGTGTGAGAGTGTGTGTCTCTGTGTGTTTGTGTGAGTGTGTCTCTCTGTGTGTTTGTGTGAGAGTGTGTGTCTCTGTGTGTTTGTGTGTGTGTCTCTCTGTGTTTGTGTGAGAGTGTGTGTCTCTCTGTGTGTTTGTGTGAGTGTGTGTCTCTCTGTGTGTTTGCGTGAGATTGTGTGTCTCTCTGCGTTTGTGAGAATGTGTGACTCTGTGTGTTTGTGTGTGAGTGTGTGTCTATCTGTGTGTTTGTGTGAGCGCGTGTCTGTCTCTGAGAGTGTGTGTCTCTGTGTTTGTGTGAGAGTGTGTGAGTGTGTCTCTGACTGAGTGCCGTTGTCTCTGTCTGAGTGTGTGTGTGTCTCTCTGTGTCTCTGAGTGTGAGTGTTTGTCTCTGTCTGTCTCTCTCTGTCTCTCTCTCTCTCTCTGGGTCCATGTGCACTTCTGGGCGCTGTGAGCTTCTGTCTTCTCGCTGGTGTCCTCCTTTCCCCACCCACCCAGTAAAAATGGGTCACCCAGTTTTTGTTAAAGAAGCAATTAATTTTTTTTGCATCAATCTGATGTGTGTTATTTCCTCATCTTTAGTTTTGATCAATAAAGCGAAAACATGTAGGTTAGCAGTAAAATGTATCTTAATAGCACCAATCAACTCTCTGCAATTTTCGCAAAACTTTTCCCCACGATTTTCTGCAGGATTTGTAAATCTCACTGCAATTTGGGGCAAATATTTCCGCACTTTTCTATTATAAGTCCGATAGCCTGCACATCAACAGTCGGCTTGAGTGTGTGGCCTGGCTCCCAGTTAGTAACTGACTTTCCCACCAACATCTACGCAGCTCAGTGTCCCCATGATAAGGAAGTGCGCATTGGCGATTGCACCCCATTATACAGCTGGTTTGGATTTTATGGACCCACCCCAATTACTGCTATATAATGGGGGGTGTATTGTAGAGGACAACCCCATTTTACACACCTCACTAGAGCACGAGTCCACTTATAGAACAATGTCCTGTAGGCCTGGCCTACATGTATACTGCGCCAGAATTACTCACAAAACTGCCACTGACCAGCCAGTTTCCTGCTGCAGACGTTTTGATTGTGGCACTGGTATAACGCAGGTTCTATTTTTACAGAGTCGAAACTCTGCGTTATAACATGGGAGGACACCCTGAATTAATATGAATCATGTTTAACAATACTGACCCATGCCTGGAGCAGCCATGAGAATCCTAGAGACAACTACTTGTGCAATAGCCTGCTGAGCAGCTTGTGTCGATTCTCCTAGCCGTTGTCCATTCTCGTCTGTTACTGGGATTCCATGCTTCAATTCCCTGCAGGTAAAAATGTAGATTGTGAACAAGCCCACAATGTTTAAGTTTGATACCACAGTGTTTGCATCAAAGTGTATGGAAAGACTTTTATTGCTTTGGAGGGAGAAAAGTTTGGAGGAGATCATTAATATCACCAATACAATACTAGGTAGAAGCAATGATACTCATGCAAGAGTCATTGTATCACAGCATGTCATATAAGCAAATAAACTGCAACTATAGTTGAACACAGCACTTTCATAGCAAGCTAATATTTACCAAATGCAGAGGATTAGCTTTCACAAGCTTGCGTGCTGAAAAGTATGATTCTGCTTTCAGAAATATAGAAGTGTTGTGGACCATATTAAAGCAGCAAAAAATGTTTATGGGTTAAAAAAAGCAAAATACTGGAGATGCTGGAAATCTGAAATAAAAAACTCTGGGAACACTTAGCAAGTCAAGCAGCATCTATGGAGCAAGTTAACGTTTCAGGTCGATGACCTTTCATCAGAACCCTTTCCTTTCTCCATAGATGCTGCCTGACCTGCTGATTGTTCCCAGCGACCTGTTTTTAAACTGTTTATGGGCTTTGATTTACAGACCATTAATAAAACCACACAATGTTCTACAATCAGCCATAAGGAAGTGCCTCAAAAAACAGGCTATTCATTTGTTCCCCCTTCTCTATGTGGAGTTGTACTCGAACTTCTACTCAGCATCTCAGTGAACTAAGTGGGTGTGGTGTTCTGTACTGTACCCTGTAGGTATTGGATTTTTAAACCCCTTCCTACAGACCTTTATTGTTGAGTAATAGAGAGAACAATAAAACTAAATATTTCAGGATTTCTATAAATAGTAGTCATTTTAATGAAGGAAGTATTTACAAGTAAAACTACTCTAATAGAATAGTCAAAAATTGATAGGCTTCTTCAATGCATGGAGGACCTACCTTTGTCTCATTAAAGGGATATTTATACAGTTGGCAGCAGCTACTGCAGCAAATGGAACAAAGCGTCCTATTAGAGGTGTCACGCGCTGTGTAGAAGAAAAAGAATCATCAATTATTTCCTTTGCAAGAATAGCTAACTGAGGCAGTGTCATTACCAATCTGCGTCATTACACTCGTTCAAATGGCTTAACCGTATTAACTCTTTCCTTCCTGGAATGTTTTATCTGACCATTATACCACATCGCTTGGTTCTTACATATGAGCCCTTATTACGTTGCATTCTTATCAGCTGAGGAAGATTGAGTAGGAAAGATCACATATCCATGGTGTACAGGCAGAATTTGCCTATATCATATTCAGTTATCAACTCATAAAGAAGGATGCTGAAATCATATCAAGGAAAGGGTTTGTTTTGCATGTTCTTTGATTCAATGTAACTATATAATAATAATACTTGCATTTGATATAGCGCCTTATCACATCATTGAGATGTCTCAAAGAGCTTCACAGAATATACTTGGGACGTCCTCACGGTGTGAAAGGCGCTATACATATTTAATCTTGCTGTTGTTGTTGTATACTGCAAAGTGAATTAACTGTATATTTTGTGGGCAAAATATGGCAATTCCATGATCTGGAATTTACTCTCAATATTTGAAAGTTATGCACAATGTGAACCCAAATTGGGAAACCAAATACAGCTTTTGTCCCATGTCAATAATTGCACAAGCTCTACAGATGCTCCATCATAGTAAAAATAAGCACAGATGTTTTTTTGAAGGAGCCAGTAATGTAATAGCCTTTTTATAAGCTTACAATGTTAATACCCAATTCAGGAGATTTGGGACTTTGCTTTGTTGCGACATAGAACTATGAAATCATGTGTTATTTTTACAGCAATCACTGTTTAATGAGATGTTAGTTGACACGTACATAAATCTAACAAAAAACAAATACTACTACACTGTCAGCAAAAAATAATGGAGAAGGCAAGAGTCCACCAGAAGTTAACAGTACCTTAGTTAGTGAATTAAGACCCAGAGCTGTTGCTACTGCACCAGTTGTAGCAGAGACATAAGCTGTACCAAGCTGGCTGTAGAAGAGGAAAAGGATGGCCAAATATGAATAGTATTTATTACTATTAATAGGATTAATAGTTATCCTTATTTTACTTATAGTTGTCATTAATTATAAATAATAAAGGCTGTCATGTACTTAAATGTGAGTACATTCTGTATATCAAGCAGAATATAATAATAATAATCCTTGCATTTGATATAGAGCCTTATCACATCACTGAGGCGTCTCAAAGCACTTCACAGAATATATTGTAACGCGGATTGACTGTGTATTTTTGTGGGTGAAATGTGCCAACCAATTGCGCACTGCAGTGTCTCGCAAATAATCGTGGATTGAGTGACCATTTAAAAAAAATCTAAATTAATGGCAATGAGTCAATCCGAATCCAAGCATAACCTACCTTACACTTATTGGAGCATCTCCACTTCGGTTGGTGTAGTTCACAATAGCATTGAAGGACTGGTTAATCCACTGCCAGAAAACCACTGCTGGAGTAGTTCTAAAGGTAAATCAGTAAGGAAACGGTTTAGAACCACAGAAGGTAAATCTAAAAAAGTACTGGCAATGGTTCTTCATAACAATATGCACTTTCAACATTCATACTTGAAACGCTGGTAGTGATGTTTTTTTCCCACTGAGCGATGTGAAAAACATACAATTATGAGTGAGATTTCTGTTAAGGAATTTGGCGAGAGTGGGAATTCTTCAGCGAGCGCGATACGGGATAATGTGTGCCATGTGGGAACTAGAGGATGCTTTGTGTGCCCTGGACGGACACATGTGTAGGAAGTACCTCTCACTGCTTGAGCTCAGAATTTCTGAGCTCGAGGAGAGGCTGGTGTTACTATATAGCATACGGGAGGCTGAAGAGTTCATGGATCGAACGTTTCAGGAAGTGGTCACCCCACACCCACTGAGGGTTCAGAAGGAGAGTCAGTGGGTGACCACCCGGCATGGTAGGAAGAGGGGACGGGCAGTGCAGAAATTACCTGAGAGTATATGGCACTCACAAACTGGTTCCCTGTACTGAATACCGGTCAGGGTGATGACACCTCTGGGGAAAGGAGGAAGGAAACTTGCAACCAAAGCCATGACTCTTACATGGTATGTCGCCTCCCTAGTGCCAGGGTTGAAAAAAGAATTGGTTCTACAGGGGGAAGGGGAACAACCAGAAGTTGTGGTCCATGTTGGGATCCATGATGTGGGAAAAAAAGGGCTGAGATCCTATAGGGAGTGTATCAGAAGCTAGGGAAAAAGCTAAAGAGTAGGACCTCAAAGGTGGTGATCTCTGGATTACGCCCAATGCCTCGTGCAAATGAGTATCAAAACAGCTGGATCAACCACATGAATCTGTGGCTGTAGAAATGGTGCAGAAAAGAGGGCTTCAGCTTCCTGGATCATTGGGACCAGTTCTGGGCCAGGTGGGACCTGAACAAAGTGGATGTCTTACACCTGAACAGGGCTGGGACCAATGTCCTGCAGGGAGGTGAACTAGTGCTATGAGGAAGGGTTTAAATTAATTTTGAAGTGGAAGGGAATCAAGATGTAGCATTAGAGAGGATAAACAAGTTACAAAGAGGGCTGGGAGAGACGAATAGCAATGTAATAAGGAGCAATCCAGAAAAAGGAGGGATTAGATGGGGGAGAAATGCAGAACAAACTAAGTCGGTCTTGGAGAGCATATGTGTAAATGCACAGAGTATGACAAATAAGATTGGTGAGCTGCAGGCTCAAGTTGCCACATGGGGTTGTGATGTAGTGGCAATAACGGAGATCTGGCTCAAACAAGGGCAGGAATGGGAGCTGAATATTCCTAGCTACAATGTATTGAGGAGGGATGGAAGGAAAAAAAGGAGTGGGTGTGACAATATGGATTAAAGACACAGTTTCGGCCCTGGAAAGGGACAATGTGCTAGGGGTCCAAAAACAGAATTTATTTGGTTTGAGTTAAAGAGCAGAAAAGGAGCTGTTACTCTGTTTAGTGTATACCATAGACCACCAAATAGTGGGAAGGAGATAGACGAGCAAATCTGCAAGCAGATTTCAGAAAGATGCAAAACCAATAGAGTAGTGATAATGGAGGACTTCAATTATCATAAGATAGACTGGCAAAATAACAGTGTAAAGGGCAAGGAAGGAGAAGGATTCCTAAAATGTGTGCAGGATAACTTTCTGGATCAGTATGTTTCCAGCCCAACGAGGAAGGAAGCAGTGCTAGATCTAGTTCTGGGGAATGAAGTGGGACAAGTGGAGCAGGTTCAGTAGGAGAGCATCACTACATCATTAGGTTTAGAGTACTTATGGAAAGGGACAAGGAGCAGTCAAAGGTGAAGATACTCAACTGGAAGAGGGCTAGTTAAAAGGGGACCTAGCCAAGGTGAACTGGAAAGAAAGATTGGCAGGTAAAACAGCTAATGAGCAATGGGAAGCCTTCAAGGAGAAGATAGTTTGGGGACAGGATAAATACATTCCCACAAAGGGGAAAGGTAGGGCATTCAAATCTCTCTGGATGAATAAGGATATTGGGATTTAAAGAAAAAAGACGTTTATGATAATCGTCAGGTCCAAAATACAGAAGATAATTAAATAAGAACATAGAAAACACAGAGGAGAACTAAAAAAGTAAATAAGAGGGGCAAAGAGATTGTATGCGAAAAGATTAGCGGGTAACATAAAAGGGAACCCTAAGGTATTTTATAAGTATCTAAAGAATAAAAGGTTAGTCAAAGGTAGGGTGGGTCCAATTAGAGACCAAAGAGGAAATCTTCTGGTGGAGACAGAGGGCATGGCTGGCGTACTTTGCATCTGTCTTCACAAGAGGATGTAGCCAATGCGACAGTATTGGAGGAGAGGGTAGAAACATTGGATAGGATAAGAATAAATCGAGAGGAGACACTCAAAAGGTTGTCAGTGCTCAAGGTAGATAAGTCACCCGGTCCGGATGGGATGCATCCTACGTTACTGAGGGAAGTAAAGGTGGAAATAATGAAGGTTCTGGCTACAATCTTTCAATCCTCCTTGGACACCGGGGTGGTTCCAGAGGGCTGGAGGGTTGCAAATGTTACTCCACTGTACAAAAAGGGGCAGAAGGATAAACCCGGGAACTACAGGCCAGTCAGCCTAACATCAGTAATGGGGAAACTTCTAGAGATTATAATCCAGGACAAAATAAAGTTTCACTTTGAAAAAGATGGGTTAATAAAGGACAGCCAACACAAATTTGTTAAAGGCAAATCATGTCTAACAAACCTGATAAGAAATTTTTTGATGAAGTAATGGAGAGGGTGGATGAAGGTAGTGCAGTTGATGCAGTTTATATGGATTTTCAAAAGGCGTTTCATTAAGTGCCACATTAGAGACTTGTAAGCAAAACAGAAGCCCACGGTATTAAAGGGACAGTGGCAGCATGGATAGAGAACTGACTGGGAGATGGAAAGCAGAGAGTAGGGGCGAACGGTTGTTTTTCTGACTGGAGGGGAGTGAGCAGTAGTGTCCCCCAGGGATCGGTATTGGGACCACTGCTGTTTTTGATTTATATAAATGACTTGGACTTGCATATAGGGAGTACAATTTCCAAGTTTGTAGATGATACTAAGCTAGGAAAAGTAGTAAACAGTGAGGAGGATAGAATCAGACTGCAAATGGACATAGACAAACTGGTAAAATGGGCCAACATGGGGCAGATGAAGTTCAATGTGGAGAACAACAACAACAACAACAAGATTCCATTTATAAAGCGCCTTTCACGTCAGGAGGACGTCCCAAGGCGCTGCACAGTTGGGTCATGACCCGAGCAGGGGGGAAATGGTCAGGGTGAGGGGAGGGAAGGGAGGGAGCGAGGAGGGGGGAAATGGTCAGGGTGAGGGGAGGGAAGGGAGGGAGCGAGGAGGGGAAGAGAGTCGAGAGGGGAGCTGAAGGCTCGGTCAAAGAGAAAGGTTTTGAGACCGGCCTTGAAGGAGGAAAGGGAGGAAGCAAGGCGAAGGCACTGGGGGATGGAGTTCCAGAGCCTCGGGGCTGAGAGGCTGAAGGCCCGACCACCGATGGTAGGGCGGTTGGGGCGGGGGACGTGGAGCAGACCGGAGCCAGAGGAACGGAGGGTACGGGCAGGTAGGTAGGGGGATGGTAGGTCGGAGAGGTAGGAGGGAGCGAGGCCGTGAATGGCCTTGTAGGTGAGGATGAGGATCTTGAAATCAATCCTCTGGGGGATGGGGAGCCAGTGGAGGCGAGCGATGGTGGGAGTGATGTGGTTGCGGTGTCTGGTGCGGGACAGTACACGAGCTGCAGAGTTCTGAATGACCTGCAGTGTGGAGGGAGGTGGCGGGAAGGCCGGCGAGGAGAGAGTTCCCATAGTCCAGCCTTGAGGTGATAAAGGCGTGAACCAGAGTTTCAGCAGCGTGAGGGGTGAGGTAGTGCCGTAGTCTGGCGATGTTCCGGAGAAATGCAAAGTGATGCATTTTGGGAGGAAGAATGAGGAGATGAATATAAGCTGATGGTACAATCTTAAAGGGGTGAAGGAACAAAGAGACCTGGGGGTTCATATATGTAAATTTTTGAAGATTGCAGGACAGGTAATAATAATGATAATAATAAATAGATAAAGCTGCTAAAAAAGCATACAGGTTACTAGGCTTTATATATAGGGGCATAGAATACAAAACTCAGGAAGTTATGACGGACCTTCATAAAACACTGGTTAGGTCTCAGCTAGAGACTGTGTTCAGTTCTGGGCACCACCTTTTAGGAAGGATGTTGAGACAAGGGTGCAAAGGAGATATACCAGGATGGTACCAGGAATGAGGGACTTCAATTATCAGGAGAGGCTAGAGAAGCTAGGGTTATTCTCCTTGGAGCAGAGAAGGTTAAGAGGAGACTTAATAGAAGTTTTCAAAGTTATGAGGGGATCTGATAGGGTGAACAAGGAGAAACTATTTCCATTGGTGTGTGGGTCGGTAATCCGAGGACACCAATTTAAAATAGTTGTTAAAAGAAACAGGGAGGTGAGGAGAAATTCTTTTACAGTGAGTTGGTTGGATCTGGAATGCACTGCCTGAAAGGGTGGTGGAAGCCAATTCCATAACACCTTTTAAGAGAATAGATAATTATTTGGGGAGGACAAGTTTGCAGGGCTATGGGGAGAGAGCGGAGGAGTGGGATTGAATTGGAAGCTTTTTTCAAAGAACCAGCACAGGGATGATGGACCGAACGGCCTCCTTCTGTGCTGTATAATTCTATGATTCCATGTGATATGATGAGTCAGGATGCTAAATCGTATGAGGCGACACTGAAAAACAGGCAACGACAGCAATATCAGCAGCCAGAGTTTTTGTTGGGTGCAAGCCAAACCACTGTACAAAACCATGATTTGACTCTGAAGATGTATTTATGATGGCTTCCTCCAAAGTAGCTGGTGTGAATTTTAAGACGTCTTTACTCACTTATAGAAAGTCATCATACATCCAGTAATTGTCATGTTCATTGGCACCTGAGCTGACATTCGACCGATAAGAATCATCTTTTCTCCTGTATCTGGGTGAAATGCAGAATCATAGATATATTTTGCTCTCCACAGTTCATCTTCTGTAAGTTCGGGCATGACAATACCTTGCCTGAGACACAACACAGGGAAAAATAGAATGCAGTTAAGAAGTACAAGCGTTATACAAAAAGGTAATAATATAATCTTTACATTTGATATAGTGCCTTAAATGTATTCGAGACGTCTCAAAGTGCTTCACAGAATAGACTGTAAAGTGGATTGACTGTATATTTTGTTGGGCAAAAGGTGGCAGCCAACTACACACAGCAGTCTCCCACAAACAGTGTGGATTGAGTGACCAAATTATTATTTTATTTTTTTGAATGGTTCCGCCAATCGACTAACAACCGGGTTCCTACTTACTGCTAGCTAAACTGAGCCCTGTGGAGTAAAGGAATTTACTTAAAGTTTTGCCCCACCCGGGAATCGAACCTGGGCCCTCTCGCTTGCGAGGTGAGTGCTCTAACCATTAAGCTACAGGACTCCACTACAGAAAGTTATAGAAAGAAAATGATAACTGTGGCTATAATTCGTGAGCTGAGTTTATACAGTTAATCTGGATTTACAAATAAACTGTAAAACAAAGGTGTCCACATTCACGTTAATAATGTAGTGATGTAGCAAGGCTCTAAATTAGCCTGGCTGTTTGGTGCTGATAGTGTGATGGTGATTGGGCTTATAAAACATTCCTACAGCAATACAAAGTGCTTATCAAACACCCCATTAAGACAAGTTTTATTTTCAATTTTTTTTAACTGTAATCCCAATTAGTCCCTGTAGTCCAGCTGTTCAATGATTTTCTGCATATCTTAGCTATTATCTAACTATTGCTCTGAGGAGTCACAATACTTTGACCTTAGCCTTCAATTTAACATTAATAAACAAGTACTAGTTAGTGGATTTGCTAAGTTTGTTTTCATCCACTGGAGTTACTTTCTAAACTTGGTTTACCAGATACATTTACAAAATAATTATTTAACTTAATGAAGTTATTGAGGGCAAAGATTCTGTCCACTGCAAAAGTTATCCATTAAATAGATTTCACATCCATCTACATCTGCATTTGTTACTCGTTGGAATTCACATAGTGATTTCTTGACTTACTCCGTGGAAATTACTGTTGGGACTCCTGAAAATGTAAGAAGGGAGTTTCAGAATCTCAAATGAAGCTCTATAATTTTCCATTAACATTTGATGTACATATTAACTGTTGTTAGTGGGAGTCTATTCCATATGCCCACTACTGTGTGTGTTATTTGAGGCTCATTAACTCACATTTGTGTCCTCCAGTCTAGGCTCAGTCCAGTTTAATAAACTGCTTGCATCTACTATCCAAATGCAGCCGGTTTTAAAAANTCAGGATCATGTCTCCTTTTTCTAATGAAAACAAGTGCAGTTCTGTGAGTCTCTGGTAGTTCCTGGATGTTGTAAACCTTTAATTTTGAATGCTACTCAAATTTTCTTCAAAGGACTACTGTTGCCTACAAACACATGTGCCATGTTAGCAAATATAGCACCAAGAGTCGGGTACTCAGCCCATCACCATCAAGTTTACGTCAACTCTCCAATTTCTTTTCCCTGTTTTTAGTTAGTTCATTTTAAAAATATGTTCAAGCCACAGAAGGATTTAACAGTAAATTTAACACTCTTCCTGCCAAATTAACAAAGGAAACTGGTCGACAAAAGTGGCACTTTTAACAGAAAAACAAATGTGAAACTTGCGTAAGTGAGAAAACTGCAATTTTAGTATGGTGATTTGCCCAACTTTGCAATACCAATGGGAACATTAGGAAAACATTACAGAAATAGCACACAGGGCAGTGTGAAATCCCTGCAATATCTGCTGAACTTTACCTATAATCATGTATTATTCTCCTGGCACGTTCCAGCTGTGAATTTGTTAGAAGAATGTTCCTGGGGTCCGTAACTGTGAAGAAGTGTTTTGCTCTCCCAATAAAAGTGCTCTGGTCCCATCGAGGCTCTTTGACATTAATGTTCAATGACAATTCTCCAGTCATTTTATGATCCTTAGATAAACAGCAATGATAAAAGTTTGTATCAGTAGGTTACCCAGCATGTTCGGCAATTATAATAAACCTTGCATTTGACCAAGACAAAATGTCTCGAAGCATTTCAGTATGTAGTGATTTTGGATTGGCAAGCAAACGTGGCAATCAATTTGTGCATAACAATGTCCCATAAGCAATGATGAGGGATTGTTGGCCACTTCTCTTTTTGAATATTGCCAGCGATCTTTAATGTCCAAATGAAGAGGCAATGGGACTGCACCTCTGAACGCCTCTGATACCTCCAGCCGTGCATTGGAGTATTAGTTTAGAGCAGTGAAAGCTAACATTTTGCTAAGGTATCCCACAGTGTGAGCACAAGACATATCTCTGCGCCACTAAAAAAAATCACAATAAAATTAAAAACAAAAATATTACTGGAAAAGATGCATTTATTAAGAAATTCACAATAAAATATCAAACAAGTTACTAATGAGGCTTCCGAATTAGTTTTTTGTTCATGATATCTTCAATGTGAGGGGAGGGGCAGGGGCCAGGGTGAGGGGAGGGAGCCGGAGTGAGTGGGTGACTGGGGTGAGAAGGCGGTGGGAGGGGTGGGGTGTGTTGCCGGGATAGGGGTGGCTGGGGTGTGAGGTGGCCGGATGGTGGGTGGGGGGGGAGCCTGGGGTGAGGGCCTGGGGGCTGCGGTCTCTCCTTATCCACTGCATTTTTAGCAACCACCAGCTCCTGCCATTGCAGATCGTGATCCACGCAGCTGATTGAAAGAGATGGGGAGAAAAAATGGTTAAGAGAGGAGGGAGGGGAAGAGAGGAGGGATTGAGGGGGGGGGGGGGGGGGGAGTGAGTGGTTGAGAGAGGGGAGGAGAGGGGGCAAGAAAGGGGGAGGCAGAGAGAAGGGGGAGAGAGAAGAAGGGGAGAGTGGTTGAGAGAGGGAAGAGAGAGAGATTGAGTGGGTAGAGAATGTGATTGGCAGAGAGCATGTGAGGCAGAGTGGGTGAGAAATAAACAGAGAGGGAGAAAGCAGAGAGTGTGATTGAGTGTGAGAGGGTGCGTGTGGAAGAGGGATAGCTAGAGAGAATAATTGGGAGATAGTGTGTGGAAGAGGTGGATTGTGATTGAGGGGAGTGTGAGAGGGGTGAGAAAAAGTGATTGAGAGTGTGTGTGAAAGAGGGGAAGAGAGTGATTGATAGAGTGTGAGAGGGGAGAGAGAGGTTGTGTGTGGGAGTGAGTAGTGAGAGTAATTGAGAGAGGGAGAGAGTGTGAGGGTGGAGAATGTTTGAGAGGGGCAGAGACAACATGTGAGCGGGGAGTGTGAAAGAGGGAGAGTGTGTGCGAGAGAAAGAGGAAAGAGAGTGATTCAGAGAGAGCATGGGGGAGAGAGAAACAGAGGGAGTGAGTGAAAGCAGAGAGAGAGGGAATTGAGGGCAGTATTTCATGGTTCACTGTCAGGACAGGTGAGCGGAGATTCCCTTCACCACCTTGGGGGGGACCAAGTCAGATCGTGGGGTGACGTGCAGTTTCCTCACTGAAAGCTCCCTGTCTCTCTAGTGAGAAACTACACTTTGTACATTATTCCCCCCACCCAGACCCCGCACTACCTCCGAACCCGGCCGTTCTCTTTGCCCAGCAAACACCAGCTTGCTTCATGTCTCCCAACCCCATCTGCTCCACCATCGCCATTTTGCCCCTGCTCTCGGGAGCTCTATTCCTGGAGTATCTCTGACTCACTCGCTCCCTCCCCTTTCGAGTCCATAAGAACTTACTCTGACTACGCTTTCAGGCATCTTTTCCCTCCCCATTCCACCTCCCTCGGCTCCCACCCCCAACTCAGTTGCCCAGTTGGCAGTGTTGAGTGCTTTGAGACGTTTTTCCGACATGAAAAAGGCTCTGTGTAAATGTTATTATGTTTCTGGAAGGGAAACACAAAAATATTTATGTGGCTCGCTATTCTCAAATAGGGAATCCGGCCTGTGGCAGCCAAAAGCTCGGACCAACTGGTTTAGACTATAAGTTCATAGTTCCACATGAACCTGCAATCATCATTTACAACAGGTGGGAAAAAAATCTGCATTAGGAAATAAGACAATTTAACCATTATTACTTGCTTGTCATTTTAGAATGCCAGATTTACATGGCATTACGTTTGAGTAACACCTAGTTTACTAACATCTAGTTGTAAAATAATAAAAGGAGTGAAGGAAACCTTGGTGTTAACATTTCTTTTCTTATTATCATAGAATTTTCATGCTAATTTATGAACAGAATCCTTCCAGTAATGAGCAACCAAATTATTCTCCATCTTGGCACCACTGCCTCTCCCTAAACCTAAGTGTTGTTTTGTTAGCTGTTATGTCAGCTCCAGTCCGGCAGATGGAGCGAGCACAGTGCCCAGAACACAATGTGCATGGCATTTCTATCCGGAGATACACATGGAAATTATCCAATTTACTTACAAGAGTCAGTAGTCCTAGGTCTACATGGGCTGATTTGGATCTCACGCACACCTTGGGAGAGACTTCATCCTCAATAAAAAAAATACTCTTTACTTTATTTCCCCCTTTTAAAAAAAATGCAATCAATTTCTAATACTGATGTCTATTATGAAAGCTTAGCATAATAGTTTCACTGATTCCTAATTTCTATAATGAACAACTTGCATTTATATTGCACCCTTGATGTCACATGGAGCACTTAACAGAGCCCAATGCTGAGCCAGCGGACGGGTAAGATCACCACGGTTGAAGAGGAATTATCGAACATAATTTTGAAAACTTCTAAGTCTCCTCTTAACCTTCTCTGCTCCAAAGAGAATAATCCGAGCTTCTCTACCCTCTCCTGATAACTGAAGTCACTCATTCCTAGTAACATCCTGGTAAATCTCCTTTGCATCTTCTCCAATACCTTGACATCCTTCCTAAAGTGTGGTGCCCAGAACTGAACAGTCTCTAGCTGAGGCCTAATCAGTGTTTTATGAAGGTTCATCATAACTTCTGACTTTTGTATTCTATGACCCTATTCATGAAGGTGTTAAATAAAAAAGATCCCATAACAGATCCCCGTGAAACACCACTGGTAACATTCTCCCAGCCTGATGACATTCCCTGTACCACCACCTTCTGGGTTCTATCGGTCAACCAATTACGTATCCATTGCAAGATACTTCCTCTGATTCCCGATTTCTTTATTTTCAGCCTTTCATGAGGAACTGTATTAAAGTCCTTACTGAAATCAAGATGTACAACATCCACTGCCTTACTCTTATCAAGCTTGTTTGTCACACAGTCAAAAGAAAACCAGTTAATTAGTTTGGTAGGATCTCCCCTTCATAAACCCATATTGGCTATCTTTTAGCATTTTATTACTGCTCCATGGTCTTATTTTTAATAAGAGTCCCCATAATTTTACCCACAATGGACATCAAACTTACTGGTCTGTAGTCTCCTGGGTCACTATGGTTACCTTTCTTAAAAATAGGAATAACATCTGCCTTTCTTCAGTCCCCTGGCTCCTCTCTCGTATTCAGTGATTTCTGAAAGATTTGTGCCAGAGTTCCTGCAATTTCCTCTCTTAAGGATCCATCGGATGCAATTTATCCGGCTCTTGGGATTTGTTTACCTTAAGTTTGCACAGTTGCTCGGTAACCATGCTGGTAGTGATATGTATCATGTCACAACTTGCCTCTGCAACACTACTGAGTTCTCTTTCCAGATCCAATAAATTTCCCATCTCCTCTTTACTAAAAACTGAGGCAAAAATCTTATTGAATACTTCAGCGGCTTGTGTAGCATCATTTGTCATATCCTCACCCGATCCACCTTCAATGACCCTATTCCACCCCCCATTTTTCTTTTCTCTTAATGTAACATTTTATTGTAGGTTTAAGGTACGTTTGTATTCTGTGGGTAAAATTGCTATTCCTACTTTAGATCCTAAAGATTTATTTAAGATTCTTTCTTGGTCTGCGTTTTAAAAAATAGTAAGAAACAATGCATGAAATTGACGCTGGTGAGAGGAGATAAAGACCACTGAATAATATTTCCATTTCAGAAACAGGCCATTTGGCCAATTTATCCATTTTATAAAGGAAAAAATTAAAATGGCCCACACCTCTCATTAGCTGGTCACAGACCAACTTGCATTTATACAGCACCCTTCATGTTTATCGCAGCGCTTAACAGTGGTGGAGCCTGACGTCAAGCCGGGGGAGGGAGGAGGTGACCATAAGAATGATCGAAGAGGAAGATCTTCAGTCATGATCTAAAAGAGGAGAAAGAGGGGACAAGGCAGAGGGATTGGGGGGTGAGAGTTCGAAAACTTTGGGGCGTAGATCAACACAGAGATGGCACAAATAATTCTGGGGCCTCCATGCCCCTATCTCCTCACCTCTTGAATCCCCCTCCACTCCTGGGCTGTCCTTTTCCCCAAGTTTGGGTACTTGGCAAATGTACAAAGAATAATAACTGGAGCAAAGTTATAAATAAAATAATAAAAGATAACTGGACTCCCCCCCCAACAGAAATGTATATGTTATCTGATCATGAACATAACGCAGAAGAATAGCTAGACAGTTCTACAGGCCGGTTGTCTGCTATGGTAAATATCTTAAGTTCCAGACTCTGTAGGGGACTTAATTGGAAACACTGCAATGATAATCTGAAAACTGATATCCTATATACCAACATGGAGTCATCTTAAAGTTTAATCACCAGTTTTCGTGGGTGATTTATCCAATAATTCTTCAGTCGTTCAATTTGTTTTACATTTCTAAACATATTTAACATCTGGCTTCAGACAGCTGTCTGTTTAACTAATGCACTTATACGAGCAGACAAAAGTCAGCTATCAAGTCCAGAATGTGTTTAAAATCAGGGATAATGGCATTGTAATTTGCATTACTATCACGCAAACTACGGGTCACTACACTAGACCAACTTTACATAAAAACAAGGACAATGTATTTGAATATGCTATAGAGGCTGTGGTTCAAATGATAGAGGTTAA